CTTAGAAAAAGCCTTTGATAGAGTGGATTGRGATTTTCTTGATGCTGTCCTTCRAAAGAAAGGGTTTGGAGAGAAATGGATTAGCTGGATTAATGGTTGCATYAGAGGGACAAAATTTTCAGTATTCATCAATGGTAGACCGAGAGGAAGAATCTCAGCTTCTAGAGGTTTAAGGCAAGGAGACCCTCTCTCTCCTTTCCTTTTTCTCTTAATCAGTGATGTGCTTAGTAGTTTGTTGGATCGCCTACATGAAAAGGGTATTTTTGAAGGTWTTATTGTYGGCAGAAATCATGTTCATGTTTCTCATCTMCAGTTTGCAGATGATACTTTGTTGTTTTGTAAGGATGATGATGATATGTTGGAGATTCTTTTCGATACTATTAAGGCATTTGAATGGTTGTCTGGCCTAAAAGTAAATTGGGATAAATCATCATTATGTGGAATTAATATTGATACCCAAAAAGTAGCGTTGTTTGCTGCAAAGTGGAATTGTAAAATTGAACATCTGCCCATTATGTACTTGGGGYTTCCKTTAGGTGGAAATCCAAAGCTTGAAGCCTTTTGRTTCCCTRTTAAGGACAAGATCCTAAAGAAACTCGATAGATGGAAGCGATATCAATTATCTAGAGGAGGTAGACTGACTTTGTGCCAAGCGGTGTTGGGTAGCATCCCTTTGTATTACTTATCGCTTTTTCAAATGCCTGGACGTATCAGCAAGCAATTTGAAAAGTATATCAGAAAATTTTTTTGGGGAGATGGTTCAAATGGGTCTTTAAAGCATTTGGCTCGATGGGATTTAGCTTCTCGCCCTTGTGCAAATGGTGGCTTGGGCATTGGCAACCATGCTCTTCTTGCGAAATGGGGTTGGAGGTTTAGTGTGGAAACTTCTGCGCTATGGCGCCGGGTTGTGGCCAGCATTTATGAAACATATTGTTTTGATTGGAACACTCTGGAAAAGAAGAATTTGAGGTGTCGTAGCCCTTGGAACAACATTCAAAAACAGTGGAAAAAGGTACAGAAATTCTCTTCATTATCAGTAAAAAATGGCAAACGTACTTTGTTTTGGCATCACTTGTGGTTGGGCAAGTCTTGTTTAAAGGAAAAGTTTCCACTTATGTTTCGGGTTTCCTCGAACCCCTACCTTTCGGTTCATGAAGCTTGGGATTCAACCACGTCTTCTTGGAGGATTGAAGTTAGAAAGTCGCTAAAAGATGGAGAATTTGCTGAATATATTGAATTATTGGACAATCTGAATTTGGTTTTGTTAAATGATGATGAAGACAAACTTTCTTGGAATCTGAATAAAAATGGGACTTTTTCTGTCAGCTCCTTATGTAACTCTAAGGCTCCCTTTGCTGCATTACCACGAGATTTTTGCTCAAAGCTCTGGAATTYTGGTAGCCCCAAGAAGGTTAATGTCCYTRCATGGATTCTTATGTTTGGCAAGGTCAATACAGCTGAAATTATGCAGAAARAGATACCATATATGTTTCTCCAGCCATCTGCTTGTGTTTTTTGTGTAAACTCAAGCGAAAATCAGCTGCACACTTTCTTTTTCTGCCCATTTGCAGCAACCTGTTGGTCTGCCTTTTTTGGTATCTTCAATCTACCTTGGGTTATGGACAAGTCAGTCTCGAACTTGGTTTTTCAGTTGCTGTTTGGTCTACACATGAATCCTAGAGCTACATTACTTTGGGTCAACGGTCTTAAAGCCCTTATTTATGAATTATGGTTCGAGCGCAATCAAAGGACCTTCAAAGGGATAAAAAGGCATCCGTTGGAATGTTTTCACATTGCCAAATTCAAAGCTTCTCAATGGTGTGCTCTTTCCAATCTTTTTGTCAATTACTCACCTAGCATGATTGATTCTAATTGGGATGCTTTTAGCTCTCCTTTGTAATTTTATTTATTTTGTTTCAACTTTTTTATTTATTTATTTATTTTATTTATTTTTTTTTTATCTTTCTCACTCCTTTGGAGTTTGTATCCTTGAACATTTTATGTTCCTTTTCATTTATCAATGAAAAGTTCGTTTCCTGTTCAAAAAAAAAAAATTGTCCTTTGGTTATTCTCAAACCAAAATTTTGGCAAAATGACTTTGACAACATTAACCCATAATAAATGGGCCTTAGGACGCAGAACCTAACCATAGAGAAGCTGAATGCTGAATCAAATTACTTTTAACATCTGCCGAGAATACCCATTGAAGATTGAAAAGTTGAAATAAGGAACACCAACAATACGAAGCAAATGAAGTTTCAAGATCGCATTGACTTTTGCTGTTGGCAGCACATAAGGCATATATTGAGGGTTAAAGAGCCGAATTGGGAGCTTCTTTTGAAGAACTTTTGCCGTCTTCAAATTATCATTGAGAAAAATCTATAATAAGGCACCAACTTTCTTTGGACTCTTTGATTTCCGAAGAGAGAACACTTCCTTCTGCAAATTTTCATATTCAAATATTTATCTCAAATGAAATTCAATGTGAACTGGCAACTTTTACAATCAAATACCAGGTCCACTGTTCCCTTAATTCTTCAGGGAACTTGTCCTCTAATTCTGCTTTCTTAGGCTTTCTGCTTCATTGACGAAATTGTGAACTCTGTTAGTTAATATGGTTTGGAGCTTCAAGATTTCTAAAAAGGTGAAAATTTTCTTGTGGCTGCTTGCTTACAGAAGTCTCTCACTCATGATAAGTTCAAAGGAAGTCTCCTAACTGGGTTCTTTCCCCTTCGCTCTGCTGCTTATGTTATAAGAGGGGGAAACTTTGGACCACCTCTTCCTACATTGCCCCTTTGCTAACAGAGGATGGCCCTTCATTATAGAAGAATTTGGTTTATCAATTTGTTTTGGCTGGCTTTTGGAAGCCCTTGGGGATCGGAGTTTAAAGGAAAGGCTAGGATTTTATGGAATTGTGCGGAGAAATGCTCTTTTGGCTCATCTGGAAGGAGAAGAACCAACAAACTTTTTGAGGATAAGTCAGATTTGTTTGAATTATTTTTGTAAGTGTATGAAACACTTCTTCTTGGTGGTATTCCAACCATATTACATTCTTTTGTAATTATATTCATCACTCTTCTCATAATTATTTTTCGTTGGAATGCATTCTTTGTTGGTTCTTCTCATGCTATGTCTTTGTAGCTCGCCTTTCATCTCCCAGCCTCTAGGATGTTCCTTGGCTGGGTCCTCTTCATAATATATCTCCTATGTAAAATACAACTTACCACTCTTTAGAAGCTCTATTTCCTTCCAACCATAGTTTCATAATATCTGCTTTAATAAACCAAAATTTTGCCAGTCCTTACTTCGAAAAGAGTTCCAAGATACAAAGCTTCACGTTTTCTCCCAATGAAAGATGAAAGACCCACGAAAAGACCATTTACATTTAAAACTGAATACCAAAGCTTCTTGCTGTAAGGACTAAAAGAACGAATGGCTTATGTCTTCAATTCTATTAAGGCACAAAAACACACTGTGAGGACAAAGATTCTTCATTGGGCATTTGTACCACTCTATCCACGGTGTTTAGACTTTCTGAACAAGCCAATAAACAAAAACTTTATGCATATCACACAAATTTTTTTTATAAGAAATTAAATTTCATTAATAAGTTGGAATATAGAAAGTGGAAGGAAAGATGCTGAATAATGACAAAAGAACTTTTAGCAAAAGTTCCTTGAAGAAACACAACCTATCTTATCTCCAGTTCCCTCACACAATTTTATGTTCATCCTTATGAATTCTTCTTTTGCCCTAGTTGCTACACCCAAAAATCTTAAAGATACAAACTCCCAAAGGAGTGATAAGAAAAGGAAAAAGATAAACAAAAGTAAAGATGACATGAAAAGAGAATTAAAATTCTATGCCAGTTTCAATATCTCTACTGCCGATACTCCCCAGCTAAATAGTCTGAAGAAGACCTTTAATTTCTTAGAGTACTTGTCCTTCAATATTCTCTTGCAAAAGCAGGTAGGAAAGGCAGAGGCTGATGTTGTTCGGCTGGAAAAGGAAATTTGTTGGAGAAGTTGTCTTATTTGTCCTGAATTGAAACTCTAGAGTATGCTATAGAAGGAGAGAAATTCCCAACCTTGCACATCAAAACGAGTCACTCTCCAACACAAATAAGGGTGTGTTTGGAAGTGATGGTAGAATTAGTGATTTTGAAAAAAGAGATTTAAGTAGAATTGATTTTCCAAAATCACCATCCAAGTGATACCTTAAAAATTAATTTAAAGTGATTTTAAGTTTTCTTAAAATCGAAATTTTAATTTGTCAAACATGATCAATGGGAAGGGAAATGATTTTGATAATGCCAAAATCACTCCCAAACACATCCTAAATTGCTTATGAAGTCTAACACTCAACTACAGGAGAACCATTTCTAGAGCATGTTCCACAGTTCTAAATTTTATCCTTGCCAAGGAAAAGAGTATTAGAAAAAGTGAGGCTGATCCCATCTATCCTGCACCCATATGCCTTTTATTTTTACAAGTTGACCGTATGCCTTCTTATCCAAGAAGTAAAAATTTTCATCCCCTGGCCTATAGACTGTTATTTTTTCTTCTTTATATATCACTTTGTTTCCTATCAAAAAAAAAAAAAAAGAAAGAATTATTTTTTAGTTTTTATTTTTTATTTTTTTAACACTAAAATAAAAAACATGGGGGATGTTACAAAGAACTATTTAGGCTGAAGTACATCTACTTGCAGACTACTTACTAATGTCTAACTTGAAAATCAAAATATCTGGATCATATTGGTTTGTCTTGGGAACTGTTTGAGATATTTTTTCTGGGATTAGGATTTGAATAGTTTCTTGTTGCAATTACTTAATCTTCATGTCACGGATAAATTGTTTTAATTGGTTGCAAGTTTTACACACTTGATTCATCTCATTCTGGTTGCTCTTAGACATAGTTCTAACTCATAAGTTTCATTGATATATCTTGCAACTGGGTTGATGTTATTCATGTTATTCATATTACGCTGTTAATGTTTAGGTCGTGGATCTCTCACATTTTGGCCGACTAAGGGGTATGCTATATCTTATTGTCTAATTATTTTGTGATTGTACTCTTCTTTATGAGTTTGATCTTATAGATTGCTTATAAAAGTTTTGCCACCATCCTTGAAAGCATCCTATATATAATAATAGAGATTTGTGGTTGCTTCTTGTAGTTTTGTGAGAAGGGTTATATTTTTCTTATTCTCATTACAACCCATTTAGGGGTAAATATACAAGAAGACCTTTCAACAAATAAGGAATTAATCTAAACCTATAAGGAAAACAATAGAATTACAGAATATACAGAGACATAATGTGAATTCTAATAAGGAAAAAACTTAATTTACGGCTTGATTTTCTACACTCCCCCTCAAGCTGGATGATATATGCTTGTCATTCCAAGCTTTGAGATTAATCTACTAAGGCTGGGTCGATGCAATGCCTTAGTTAAAATGTCAGTAGCTTGTTGTTGGGAAGATACATATCTTAGATTGATAGTATTTGTCTCAATCTTCTCGCTGATGAAGTGACGATCTATTTCGACATGTTTCATCCGATCATGATGTATTGGATTTCTTGCAATGGCTATGGCAGATTGATTGTCACACAATACCTCTATAGTACCTTCTGTCTTCACCTTGAGTTCAGTGAGAAGACGTTTCAACCAAAGTCCTTCACAGATCCCATGTGCTAATGATCGAAACTCTGCTTCAGCACTACTTCGAGCTACAACTTGCTGTTTCTTACTACGCCAGGTTACTAGATTCCCCCATACATAGGAACAGTATCCTGATGTTGACTTACGGTCAATAGGAGATCCAGCCCAATCTGCATCCGTGTAGACTTCAAGAGCTCGGTTTGTGGTTTTTCTGAACATCAGTCCTTTTCCAGGATCGTGTTTGAGATATCTCAATATTCTATACACAGCTTCCATATGCTCCTTTGAAGGTTTGTTCAGAAATTGACTTACCACACTAACAGCAAAACTAATGTCTGGTCGCGTATGAGTTAAGTATATTAGCTTTCCAATTAGGCGTTGATATTTGCCTCGATCAACTGGTTCATCTTCAAGATTAACTCCAAGTTTTGAATTTACATCCATAGGAGTGTTTGTTGGTTTACAACCACTCATCCCGGTCTCTATTAGGAGATCTAACGTGTACTTTCGTTGAGTGACAGAAATCCCTTTACTAGATCTTGCTACTTCCATAMCTRAGAAATACCTTTGGTGTCCCAAGTCTTTGATCTCAAATTTCTTCGAGAGGAGTTGCTTTAGACGAACCATTTCTTCAGAGACATTTCCTGTAAGTATTATATCATCAACATATACTATTAATACAGTGATCTTACTTGGTGA